ATGGAAAAGGGGGGGGGGTCACCAAAGAGGAATTCAAACAAATAACCAACATATGTAGGGAAAAAGTTTGAAAGGCTAAAGCACAAAATGAGCTCAAGCTTACCAGAGAGATTAAAAACAATAAAATGGGGTTCTTTGGTCATGTCAGTAGAAAAAGGAAGAACAAGGAAATGATAGGGCCTCTGCGTGGAGAAAGTAGTGAAGTGATGACAAGGGATAGGGAAAAGGCAAAATTACTCAACACCTTCTTTGCCTCAGTCTTCTCCTCAAAGAAAATCAGTATTCAACCTGAGCAATATGGAACAAATGAGGTGGCCAGGCTAGCTGGAGAAATTTGACAGCTATAGTCCAAAAAAAGTTACTTTTGGATTTTTGCATGTGATTTATACAAGCAGGGTCAGTAACACAGGCTATTTTCATGCCTGAGATGTTTGTTGCAGCAATGATCTCATTCTGGAGAGGCCATTGCATGTAAACACAAGCCTGCTCACTTCTTCACTAGCAAACTGTGCAAATGTCAAGGGCCATCATTGGTCAAGCATTGAGCGGGAGATTATCCACCTCTTATGGACATGCTCATAACTCTGCAGGAATGCCTCCTTTCCCTTTATGGTGTCAGGTATTGAGTCACACCTCCAGAGCTTTCCAAATGCTCTGCGAAATGGGTGCAGTTTCCTTTTGTCTCACGCCACCTCATTATGCGTGATTATCCTATCCTGTCAATTAAGATTCTAAAATGCTTCCTCAATTGAAGACACTCCTGCTGGGTGTAAGTAACTGCTAAGTTTAGGTATCACTTCATTTTGTGTCCTGTGCAAGCTCAGAAAGGAAGGGAAGGGGCAAAGAGTAAGGGAGCGATGTAAGCTGTATGACAGAACAAAGCATGAGATAGAAGGAGAAGGCTGTCAGGGGCACTTCTGATTTTTCCAAAGGGAAATCTGAAAGCTGGTACTTTTAGTCATCCTTTTCTGGGTGGAAATATACAAATAGACATACATGTTTAGTCCATTTGTAGAGAATGGCTTATTATCTAAATCAGAGGCAATTTGTGGGGCTCTGATTGCTGTTGAACTCCGATCATTCTTCATTATTGCCTATGCTGAGTAGGGTAACTGGGATTTTCAGTTCTAAACATTTGGAAGATTCGACATTTCTAGACTGTAGTCTTAGAAGGAGTTCTGTCTTCTTTCAGTTTTGCTAAGCTGCAATTGCTATAATTGATTTTGCTGCCTAGGACTCCTGGGGGATCAGATGTAAAACATCTGGAGGATCATATAATCTGAAGTCTTGCCCGGCATGGTTAAAGGAATGCTGAAATAACACCAAAATAGGTGCTAGAAACTTTCTATAGTGATGACAAACTTGTAAGAATTTTCTGTCACAGTAACTACATTCCAGAACTAGGCAATAGTTACTTACATCCTATTCATACTTAACTGGGAGCAAGTATTATTGAACACCACAAAATTAACTTAACAAAATTACAACATGAATGTGCTAAATCAGTAATCAGGAGTTTCAGTAAAAATTCCCATGTTTGGAGTGGAATCAGGGTATTCCTCTATAAGTGTGGCAAAGCTGAGCTAACTAATAGACCCTTAATACAAGATTTGTATTAACTCCCTATAATCATGGAGAAATCCTTAGCAAGAGTGTGGTGTTGTACTGATTTTTTTGTGATTCTCCAGCAGAGGGGGTGATTGTATTACCAATAACTAGCGAGGTTGAAGAGCAGGGACTCTTCATGTTACAAGGGGATGAAACAGGGCAAGCGACACTAATCCATTACATTGTTTGATTATGGACTATGTTGATGAAAATAGGAATTTGTGCTATGATAATTCTCTTCTTTGGAGTGCCACAGCAGCCTAAGTTGCTTTTTTCGAGGCTGCAACTGGCATCAGAATTGTAAGCAACACTAAGGTCTTCTGCTTGAGTGAATAACTCTCAGAGAGATAGCCAGCTGTGTTAGGTCTAAATCCACTTGTTCTGTTCCATCAAATCGTTTCCATCTTATGGAATCCTAAGGTAAACCAATCATTGGGGGTTTTTTGAACTGAGAGTGCGCGACTCAGTCAAGATCACCCAGTGGGTTTCTATGACCAAGTGGCGATTCGCACCCCTGTCTCCAGAGTCTTGTTGGGTCATTACATCAATGTCATCTCATTCTGTTTGGGTTCTTGTTTATATTGGCTACTTTATGAATGTGTGTCACTAGGAAACCCATAGGATTATGCTGACTTTTAGGAATGGTCATCACACTTTGGATTTCTGATTGCAGATACTTCTCTTTTAACATTAGGTTTAAGAAGCTGATAGGCATTAACAGGAACATTGTGGTCCCTTTCCCTCTACACACTCATAATGCTATAATAAAAATAATAATTTTGTTTCTTACCTGCCTCTCCTCGTAGCTTGAGGCAGGTTACAACATGGCTCAAAACACATAATCATCTAAAAGCAGTCTATAAAATACATATATTAAAACATATTTCTACAAAATACATATTAAAATACAGACAGTCCCCAAGTTAAACCAGATAGGTTCTGTAGGTTTGTTTTTTTAAGTTGAATTTGTTTCTAAGTCAGAACAGGAACATTTTTAAAGTGTAACACAAGCCTATCTATCTATCTATCTATCTATCTATCTATCTATCTATCTATCTATCTATCTATCTATATCTCATTGAGCTTTAGATAGCAAAGAAAAGGGTTAACACTCTTGTAGAGTTTGATTTTAAAAGAAAAAAAACCCTGTAGTGTTTGTTTTGCTGCCTCTGCCCCTGTTTACAAGATTTCACCTCACTTTCTGTCCTTGTGGTAATTGGATTTTGGAAAAAAATGGCTTGTTGTAGAAACAAGGGTTGGTGAGAAAACTTCAGCTGAGACACTTTTTCCCCAAGATAACTCTTCCAGGAGTGAATTTCCCTTCCTATAGGTAAATTTCTCTCACTTCCTGTTGTCTCACCAGTTTGTAATTATGAGTTGTTTGTGAGAATTTTGTAACTCAGGAACTGCTTGTACACAGAAAAAAGATTAAACATAAGAAAAAAGTTTAAAATTTGTTATTAAAACTGGATGGGTAGGCTTGCTGGAAGAGATAGGTCTTTAGATGGGTTTTAAAGCATGCACATTTAATAAACTGATAGCCCACTTCTATGGACATTTACTCAAAAATAACTTTCATTGCATCCAATAGGACTTATTCCCAATTTCATGCGCATATGTTTGCAGTCTGAACAATACATGAAATGGCCTGGTGCAAAGAGAAATGCAGGGGGAACAGTCATTCCAGAGTAATGGGGCAGCCAACCAAAAGGTCCTCTGAGTGACAGCCGCCAGTCAGGTTCTGGTTGGTTGGAGTAACACCTCTCCCCATCCCCCCCCCCCCCCCCCCCCCCCCCGAGGACATCGGTGTTTGGGGCAGATTGTATGGGCGATGCTGTAGGTAACCTGGACCGAAACCATGTAGGGCTTTAAAGGTCAAAATCAACGCTTCGTACTTTGTTCTGAAGCTAATTGACAGCGAGTGGAGTGACTTTAGGATAGGGGTGATATTCTCACTCCTGGATCTTCCTGTAACCAAATCTGGCTGCTGTATTTTGAGCCAACTGGAGTTTCCAAACTTGGTACAGAGGTAGTCCAATGTAGAGTGTATTGCAGGAGTCCTGCCTTGAAGTTACCAGTGTATGCACTACCATCTTAAGGTCCTCTAAATCTACATAGGGGTGCAGCTGGCTTATCTGCTGAAGCTGGTAATAAGCAGTCCTGGCCATCACATCTACCTGGGCTGATATTTGGAGAGACCGATCCAGGAGCACTCCCAAGCAGTGAACACAGTCTTTCAGAAGGAGTGTAACCCCATCCAAAACTGGTTGACACACCTCCATCCCTAGATTAGGACCCCTGATAGGAAGCACCTCTGTTTTGCCTGGATTCAGTTTCAATTTGTTTTTCCTCATCCAGTTCATTACCTCCTCCAGGCATTAATTCAGAGGAGGCACTCTATCCTTAGCTGAGGCTGTTTTTGAAGGCATGGAGAAATATACTTGAGTGTCATCAGCATACTGATAACACCCCGCCCCATGCCTACGGATGATCTCTCCCAGCGGTTTCATGTAAATATTAAAAAGCATTAGGAATAGAATGGCACCTTGTGGGATGCCACATAACAGCTCCTTTTTTGAGGAGCAGCTATCCTCAAGGATCACTGTCTGGAATCAGCCTGAAAGGTACAAACGGAAACCCCTACAGCATGGTGTATGGCAGTGTAGGTGAGGCCTGAGAAGATGTAAATTAGTTGCAACACCACTCTTGTTGGAAATGTCCAGCTAGGGCTCATCAACAGCCAGAGTTACCAACTAGCTAAGGAAAATCACTGTACAGTTGGCCCAAAACAGGTCTTTTTCTATTTAAAGCAACACAGCCGAGAACTGCATATTTAGAGCTGATTTGGGTAAACTGCAGAGGTGATACAGATATTTGATCCAGATCAAGATCTTGTCAACAGCTTGTTTATTTTAACTTTGATTGTAATGTGGGTTGTATGCTATATGTGTTAAATGTATTTGTTAAATGTTTGGATATGGCTGATGGACTAAACAATAATTAATACACATACACACGCACGCGCACACACACACACAATGTAAAGTTGGCCTTTTACATCTGAATTTTATGGATTTGATTGACATGCTCCCTTTAGGATTATTAGGTTCACCATTGGAAGTTTACCATATAGTCAACAATCTTTGGAGGCTTTTAAAGAGAGGCTGGATGGCCATCTGTCGGGATGCTCTGAGTGCAATTTTCCTGCTTCTTGGCAGGGGGATGGCCCATAAGGTCTCTTCCAACTCTATGATTCTATGAAAGATGTAAAGATTTCTAGCTAGACTGCCTCTATAGGAATTCCTGTTTTTCAATGTAATTATATTGTCAACTTCCAGTGGCTGCCCATAGTTATGTTGAAGGACCAAGGGATCCTAGAATGAGGTTCTCTCAAGTTTAAAAATGTGGGTTTTCTTTAAAAAATGAATTTTTAAAAAGTGTGCCCCTAACCCGGGTGGATGTGGAGGGCTGACTCTACTGGCTCTCCCATATATATGCTAATATTTTAGAAGTCAGCAATTCAGCACCGTAGTCAACTTTTCCTTCCAAATAATAACCATGCCTTAAAGACTGTAAAGAAATACAAACTGCGACAGATTTCATTAAAAATGTTGTTAGGCAGTGAAAGAATACAAATATCTTAATAAAGGCGCAGTTAAAATACAGTTCTGGTACATAGACATCCATACATTAATGCATTGTATACATACCAAGCATTTACAAAGGGTAGGGATTTTAGAGGCGTGTACATTTAATAAACTGATGGCCCAGCTCTGTGGACATTTACTCAGAAATAACTTTCATTGCATCCAATAGGACTTATTCCCAATTTCATTCACATATGTTTGCAATCTGAACGATACATGAAATAGCCTGGTGCAAAGAGAAATGCAGGGGGAACAGTTTTTCACTATCATCATAAATCATAGCACATTTAATCCAGACAAAGTCCAATGAAGAAAAGCAGCTTGAGAACTGCATTTAAGGTTGGATTGTTATTTCATGGCTAATATAAATAAAAAGCTTGGCTTTGCCATAGTACAGACTTGCCTGCCATTGTCCCTAGGATAAAGGCCATGATCCGAACATCTTTCTCTCCACTGCTGCCAAATAATAATTCTGCTCCAACTTCTCAATATGGCAAATGGGGTCTCTGTTGCTCACAAATATATCCCCATATTTTCCCAGTGGATGTTTCTTCACTTGTCCAATTGGTATGGCTTTACTTCTCAGTTTATATTTATTTAAACTCTTGCCACAATAAATCTGCAAAACTCATGAGAAAGTGTCAAATAAATAAAACCATGGAACTTGTGAAAAACAGCCTTGTTCCAATTTGAGTAACTGAGGGAAACAAGGCAATATACCAATTCCACCACATAAGCATAAAGAGTAGCCATGACAGATAAAGATGGATTAACCCAAATACCCACTTCCATATATAAGGGGTTTTTTTTTTATCTTGTTGGATGTTATGTCTGCCAATCTTTAAAGCCATGCAATCAAAACTCTTCAAACAAGCTTTGAATTGTGCCTAACACTGATGCCAGCTTTTTTCAATGTCGTTGATGTTGCGGATTAATGCAACTTTCAGCTTTGCTTTGAATTATAATGTAACAACAATTTACAAATATTGATGTGCTGGGTATCACGTTCTCACTCTTGGTGCTATTATCCACAGTGCTGTGAAATGTTGGTTGAAAGGTAAACACTAATGAAGTTCCTGTGGGAGGGAAGAATGTTTATGTGCAGTGCTACATAGTTGATGCTCCTATCACTTTTGAAAAGAGAAGGGAATTCGGGCTGCCTAATACGGGCTATAGAAGGCCATAATTCTGGTCTGCCAGAAACTCCACCCTGACCTCTTTCCTGGAGGGACAAGAACTCATTAAAGATAGGAGATCATAGCCAGAAGTGTGCTGGCTGTGTAAGAAGCTTTCAGCATGTGTTATCTGTCAGAATGGCAGATGCAATCTGTGTAAATACTACTTGTCATGGCAAACTACTGCAGCAAAGGAAAAGAAAAGCTGGATTTATGAGTATGGCACCGCAGACTGCAGGGTATAAGGGTTCTGTCCTTTGTTACATCTGGTCACCTGATTTGCACAAGTGTCCTAGTATGCCCTAGTGAAGGTATCATTCACACAGAAGTGTGGTTGCACTTTGGGATGACAATGTAAGCACAAGACGGGAGAGGGAAACAAACATCACCAATGTTTATCACTTTCTCCTCTACCAATGTCTTGCTTTTCTTTACCCTATGATTTTAACCCACCCACCCCCAGTGAGAATTTTTGTACTTGGATGGGAATTTTTGTATATTGGCAAGCTCCCTGCAGAGCTTTCATCAAGGCTCTAACAATGCATAGAGATGTATTTGCTATGACTTTCTCAAACAGGTGAACCGCATGATAGAGGACATAGAGTGAACAACTGTAAATTGAAAGGAAGGCCCAGTAAGAAAGATTACAGTCAGATCCTTCTCTTTTCTTCCCATTGCTGTGTTAATTGAGTGCAAACAACTTTTGCACATCAACTTCAGTTTCAACTGAAATCAGCAGAGGAGGAGAAAGAAAGAGAACCAGTGGCATTTTATAAGCAGCTGAAAAAGTAGGACAGCAGAGGATTAATCAATGCTATTCCTGCCCAACAGGGATAGGTGGAGGGCATGCTAGACCCACTGAAATCAACTGCTTTGGATATGTCAACACTCAGGTAAATCCCAATGTTTTATGAGCCAACTCCACTTGGGACTGGCAGTTGGATTTAGGCCAATGTTGTTATTGTGGATATGTGATGTAAAGGTTCCACAATGGAACTATGTGCTATCCTCTTTCCCTGATATCCTACATTTTTCACTCTGCCCACAGTGCAATGACTTTGTAGTGGCCCGTGGAGACTGTGGGGTGTCTGAAAAGCATCTCACTAGACCCCGAAATACAAAATGGCAAATATATCCTCTAGGACTTTCCAGGAATCTTTCCAGTCTGCATGTGGCTATAGGGACATAGCCAGATGTGTCTAAAACATCCCCTGCACTACACCATATGACCAAAGACGTGAGCTGTATTAATTGGATGTATATGTCTGCCTAAGTTATTAACATAATGCCAGCTTTAGTGGGGGAGACGGCGGGGGAGGGGGGAGAGGGGGGACTGCAAGTTTTCTTTGACAAACCATTTCCTTACAGGGATCATATTATAGAAGCACTAATTTTGTGATCAATGCTTATAGTCATGCAATTACAAAATATTTCCCAAAGCCATTTAGGAAAATGATATCATAATCCATGCCAATTACTCTTTCCCATAAGTTATTCTCCTTGTCACCTACTTATGTCTCATAGAATGGAGATCACTGTGCCACATGGGAAAAATAACATCTTTCTACCCTGCAGAAAAGCTGGGGCATTTCAGTCTTGAGTTTGCAGAATTGCTGCTCAAACAAGTAATTTAAATGAGTTTACTACTTTAGATTGGAACTGGGGGTGCAATGCTTAAAAATCTCTTTAGCACCAGGCTGCTATCTGGCAAACTTTTGCAGGCAGAAATAAGAGGATGAGTTGAGAGCTTGTTAGAGCTGGGCCTTGTGTTGTGGCGCTCTGTTTTCCACTGTTAGGATCTCTGGCAGATGTTTTCTGGCAATTTAGAACTGTTTTGTTGTTCCTTGGTCCTTAAAAGCAGCTATCTGAAAAGGAGAAAATAAATTGTTAACATAACACATATTTAGATAGTTCTTACATGGCAGGGTTGGAAATCATGCTCCCTGACAGATGTTATTGAATTACAAGTTATAGCAGTCCTTGCCCTCATAGACAATAGTGCAGAATGCCAGGAATCTTAGTCCAGCATTCTCTAGAAGATTACACAATTACCACCACTCAACCTTGTTGTAACAGCTACAGAGTAACTGACGATAACAAAACTATACAGTAAAAAATGTTTTCTGTATAAGAAAGCAAGAGTGCAGTCCTTTTAAATCTTGCATCAGATTTCAGAAAAGCTTTTCAAAGATTTCTATGAAGTTACAGTCAATATGCCATATTTTGTTCACTGTGGCACAAAACATGTTTTTTAAAAGCTTCACAAGTGACTTTTGGAATCATCACCTACGCCTGTCGCCAATGAAGAGCAACAAGATGCAGAATCTTCTCACCCTCCAGCCCTCCCGTTTTATGTTACAATTTCATTACTAGGGCACTCCTGTTTTGTAAAATATGCAATGTGATGTACACACAAGTAGTACCCTTGCAGGTTATGCTCATCGTGTGCTGAAGAAGACCCTTGTGCATCCATGAGAATGAAGTTAGGGCTCAATTGCTTACAGCTCAGTGTCTTCTATGATATCGGGATTCTCCAAAGTCTGTTTCCTCCTCTGGACAGCATCTAGAATCTTTTTCCTGGGTCCCAGAGGGATGTTGATGCTCTTCAGATCATTGTCTGAACATAACATGAGTGCTTCCAAATCAATCTTTTCTTTCTTAAGGATAGAAATGAATTCAAACATGTGCAAAGAGGCAAGGAAGGTCTCTAGAGGGCTGGTTTCAGGTTCGATATCATCATCTAGGCCTAGTTCCATCTCATCCCATGGCAGCTCCTCCATGTTCCTCTCCTGCAGGCTGTTGGCACTGCCGATGCTATCGTTGAGACTTGGCGAGCGCTGCAGGCGGCTGTGAAGTTTAACGCCCAACCTATCCATATTATTTTCTCCTAGCATGCCGGGATCATCCTGTCCAATCCCAAACAGTCCACTGCTGACATAGTTCCTCCTGAAAACCATGGTGCCTAGGCCAGGGCGATTGAATAAAGAGTCATGACCAGAATCGGTGCTGACCTCAGAATGGGCTGAGTCCATGTGCAAACCTGGGTCACTTATGGCACGGGAGACAGTGTCCTCATCAGTCAGAAACATGTCCCTAATGTTTCGCCGAGACCACTCCTTTGGACTGGCATAGGTGCCTTGTTTCACAAACATGACATCATTGCCTAGCTGCAAGCCAGACAAGGAGCGCACACTTTTCCTCCCATCCTCATAGATTTTGAATGTCCCATCTACCTGCTTCTTCTTCTCCAGCTTTTTCTGGATTTTGGTCTTGCCCTTGGCTGTGCCGTGTACAGTGGCCTGAGAATATGGCAACGATGTCATCATAGACATGTGCTGGAATCGCCTGCTCAAAGTGCTGCTGGAGTAACTGGAGAAGCTCATGGTGTCTGAATGGTCAGACATCTCCTTTTTGTACCTTTTCTCCATCCTCTCATGGTGCTTCTTCTGCAGCTTTACACAGTCCTTAATGCGCTTCTCTGCGTCCTTGAAGGCCTTGTCCTTCAACTTGCCCACCAACTTGGGGTTGAGGCTGCTCTGCTTGGCAGCAATGGAATCCAAGTAACGCACACATTCCATGTGGCCTTTCATGGCTGCCATGTCCAGTGGCGTGTGGTAGTCATTGTCCAGACACCAGATATTGGCCCCAAAAGACACCAGGAAGGAAAGGCAATTCAAATGCCCATTGGCTGCTGCCAGATGAAGAGGCGTGTTCCCCCAGATGTCACATTTGTCTGGATCACCCCTAAAACAATATGGGAATTAAAGTTAGCACTTTAGGCATTCTTTGGAACTCAAGAAAAAGCATCAACAACTGTTTTTATTCCATTTACTTCACTTTATCTGTGCATCTGATATTAATTCTCAAATATATCTGAAGAATACCTTAGCAAATGAAATTGGAACCATTAACCTTCCAATGCAATGCCTCATGTACTTCCCTGCACATGTCTAAGTACAGAGCATCTAATTATCTTCTGCCCTGTTAATTTTTCTGTTTGTGTGAAGCCGCTATTGCCCATGGTTGCAACACCTTCCATTCACCACCCAGTAATCAGAAAGGAGAGCATCTGACCCTTCAAACACATGGCCACCCAGTGCCCTCATTGCCAGGAATGGATTTGTTATCATTTAACGATAGCTATTCCAGGATTGCTTTTTCCATAATAAGCATCGCAATGATAAAGTAATTAAGGAAAGCCTTGTTGATGAGGAAGAAAAAGATAAGACCATTGCCAATGCAGCAATGTGTCTCGTGTAAACAAAAGCCTGGCGAGACTGACCGGTGACATCACTTTCACAATGCTTGTTCAACTAGCACAGGATCTGGACCTGAGGTTACTGCTCAATGGAGGTGCAGGGCCAATTTGTTTCTACAGAGTGCTCTAAAGATGATGAGCATGTGAGCTAAAAAGGTTCACAGAAGCACACCTGTGGCTGGCATAACACTTCAGATAAACTATGATGCAGTAGCCACTATAAAACTGAAATTGTAAACATACAATCAAGGAATGCTTACAAATGTGTTAGGAGTGGGGTGGGCAACTGTGAGAGGCCAAGGGGCCTTATTAGTCCTCTAGGAGACCTGCACTCCCCCCTGCAAAAAAATGCAATAATATCTTTCTTCCTAATGCCCATTTTACCCATGACTTTAAGATTTAGGATATGCCTTTTTTCCAGAAAGTGATTGGAAATCACTTCAAGCATATTCAAGATGGTCTGGCAGCTTGGGCTAAAGGAAACTGCTGCAGCCTCTCTTGGCTTGTGTATTCTTCTGCATCATTAACTTGCCTTTCTGAACTACATTGTGATGTTGCTCATTCCCATGTGTCCCGGTTTTTACCTGTGAAATGTTGGAGGGTACATATTAGATGAATTGAATGAAATCTTCCTTCTAAGATTCAGTGGGGATATTGCAATGCAGACATGGATAATAGCATTTCTACCTCACCCTCCCAAATCCCATCAGTTTTAGTTCCAGAACCTGAGGTTATGCATGTCATCCAAACTGAAGAGGTGGTAAAAATAAAACCTTTCTGTAGTCAGAATCTCAAAAACAAGGCAGTTACTAGGCAAACTGGTAGCTAGTCTCCCACTCTTAGAAAAGTATTGAATAAGCAGAAGAATGATTTCAGAGTATTTGACTGGAAGCCCTGATGCCTTATAAATCTGACAAAGAAATTTGGCAGGGAGTTGAGATGACAAGAAGCAGACAAATGGAGCAGACTCTCTCTTGCTTTGCGGCCCCAGTGAATTGCCTCATCCAAGGCCTGGCAACAGGTTCAATCTGACTCCTTGGCCAGCCCGCCCTCTCCCCCTCACCTTGATATTGGCCTATCCGTAGTGGGGAATTCAGGGGAAATATAAATATTTGATGAATTGCAAGAAAGGAATAAATTATTGACGAGAGTTGGTTAAAGAGCCAGAGAAACTCTAAATGCTAGAGCGAGGCTGGCTGCTAGTGGAGAGTGTGTGAGGTTTTGTTTATGTTTGTGCTAAATGAGCACATGGGCAATGGTTCTGGGTGTGTGGACGTGTGCAAGTTGAAGAGAGGACTCAAACCATACTCTTCCTCCCCTCTCACTATCTGCCACTGTTATTAGCCCCCAGTGGCATGCTGGGTTAAACCCTTGTGCTGGCAGGACTGCTGACCGAAAGGTCAACAGTTCAAATCTGGGGAGTAGGGTGAGTTCCCATCTGTCAGCTCCAACTTCTCATGTGGGGACATGAGAGAAGCCTTTCACAAGATGATAAAACATCTGGCTGTCTCCTGGGCAAAGTCCTTGCAGACAGCCAATTCTCTCACACCAGAAGCGACGCAGTTTCTCAAGTCGCTCCTGACATGAAAAAACACCTGTTATTATTGAAAGTCATAAGCTGGTTTGCATCACATGTATCCCAAAGCATTCTTATTGCATCAAACACAATTTGCTGCCAGAGCGAAATGAGCAAAACAGCACAATGTCAAACGTGATATCCCTTCAGGCTAAATTTATGTGCTTCGCATCACACAGTACATCTAATGCAATGGAAACACTCTCTAAAGGGTAGGCAAGGCATTCATCTTCTATATAAATAAAAAATGTAATGTTCATTTGTGGGATTAACATAACTCAAAAACCACTGAGCGAATTGACACCAAATTTGGACACAATACATTTATCGGGCCAACAAATGATCATCACTCATAAAAACACTGAAAAACACAGCAGAAGAGACTTAAAAAGCCAAAAACAAAATACATTACAATGCATGCGCAAAACCACATATAGACAAAATATATACACAAATATACATATATATATACACACACACAAAACACATATACACAGACTGTGCCACAGCAACACGTGGCAGGGGACGGCTAGTAGGGCAATAAAATAGATTAGTCCACTTCATATTTAACTTTCTTCCAGAATTTGAAAATCTTACTTCAACTCAAACCAACAATTCAGAGAATTGCATAAAGTAGATTTTTTTTAAAAAAATAGCCAAGTAATTTATCCAGTCATCATGACTATCTATTAGGCTAGGTATTTCTGAGAGGTATCATCCCAAAAAGGAACCAGACAAGGTAAAAAATGAAATACTGTATAAATAAATCTCACTAACTTACATATTTCCCCCTCATCAATTCGCTGAGCTAAACTCTGTGTAGGAATCAGTGTATACATTGTCACCTATGAATCACAGATAACCTGTCTACATGTCACTCCCATATTGATTTCTTGACCTCTCTGCTCAAACATGTAAACATTCAGAGGAGCCATAGGGTCACATGGCACAACATGAATACAAGTTTAAAAAATATCTGTGCCACATGCTTAGACGATGGCAAACATAATTTGACTGAGTGTTTGAATGTTTGTTTTGATTTGTTTATTTGTTTAATACTACAGTAAGATCCTGCACCAAAAACAAAAAGAATTCAGGTGAAGTAATCTGTTATAGGAGGAAACAAGCAACACCTGAAACTACTAAATGGCACATTTTCAGGAGTGAAAAGAAGCAGCTTGTCTAATGCTCCCAAATCACTAGATCATTCTTCTGCTCTCTCAAAATGTCAGCTGTTTTAATGCCCCAGTGTCTTTCTACTAGTACTTTTTCTTCAACTTACTTCAAGTGTTGCAAACTGAGTCGAAATTGGGAAAATTGTTTGTATGGCATTAAGGACTCCATCACATTGATGAGTGCCAATTCACCATCCTCTGTGACAAATTGGTGATGTAGCAGGGCAATCCAGGTGTCCCGCACTCCGCCAGGTCGGCAGCAATGCTTCCCAATTACACGTGGAGAAGCACTGCCACGCAGCTTCTTTAGTAGTCCCATCATTCGAAATGGAACACAGGGAGACTCCCATGTTGGTAACACAGTGTCCTACCACGCAACTTAGTTGAGCAACTTAGCCCTGCCAGAAGTGAGGCTACATTGTGTGATGGGTAATGTGGAGCTCCATCACACAACTGGGGTGGCAACATCCTAAGATCCTAAAAATTTGTCATATGATGAGCACGTGGGGCAGCAGTGGGGACCAGAGATGAAACAGAAGCTTGCCTCCCTAGTTGGCTCAAGCAAAAACAAGCTGTTGCAGCCTTTCCAATATTACCTGTTCTCCTTCTAATCATCATCATCATCATCATCATCATCAATACAACAATCAGCATATAGTGATCTTGTTTGCTGTGTACTAATCTTGTTGTGTTTCTATTAATTATTAATAATATTAATTATTAATATTAATTAATAATTAATTATTAATATTTATTATTATTATTATTATTATTATTATTATTATTATTATTATTATTATTATTGCAAAAGGCCACCTTACTTGGATCTGCACGCATCATTCAAAAATACATCACACAGTCCTAGACACTTGGGAGGTGTTTGACTTGTGATTTTGTATTACAAAATCCAGCATATATATCTCATTTGCTGTGGCATACTGTGTTTTTGTGTCAGTAAAATAATAATAATATTTTGACCACATGTTGCTTGTCTCCATGTGTTGACAGAACAGTTATAGAAGACAGATGATAAATACAACCATATAAATCATGTCATGCAGTTGATTCTCTTGTCACTACAAAAAACCCTTTGTGGTGAGGGCAACTTTCAATGTCTTTTCTTCTATGAGGCCCCTTCCTTACCTGGACTCTGAAGAAGGGAGGTCCAGTAGGCCTACACTGCCTGCTTTGTGGCACACTCCCATAGATTATCAACTCTAGCATTATGTCTAAAACACACCTAAGCACAATGGCAACTCCGACACTGACAAGGACACAGAATTTCTGTAACCCACCTGATTACTTCCTTTCATAGTGGGCTAAGATGATATTAGTGGTTATCATCATCAACAGCATCATCATTACGTTATGCCACATATTCCAGCAGCATCAGGACTCTGGGCCATATGAATAACAAGGAAACCAAAGCAAGAGTGGGAAGCCACAGTGAGGGAAGAGAAAAACTGAGATTTCTCAGGAAGGAATCTCCCTTTCTCTTGACTGATACCGGATCCTCTTTTTTAGGGGAGATCTGATCAACCCAGCCAATGACAGCCATCAATTAAATCCAATTAATATATTACAAAACAAACTGGAGTGGGAGCCTGCCAGTGCTGGGGAACCACAGGGAAAGTCCCTTTGCAGGACAGAGCAGGATCAAGTAGGTTTCCCAAGGAAGTGCATGAGAAGGATAGGTTACAGCAAGTTATAGGCAATGTGAATACATGCTGCAGTA